AAAATTAACTAACGACCAGAGACGTAACAATATAATGTTAACTGCAATAAAGAGAGTTGAGTACATTATACTAAACGATTTTGAATATGCAAATCTGCAAGTCACGTGTCAATCCCAGTCGATATAAAGTTTAGGTGAAAAATTACGTATCATAACTACCTTGGTTTGGCATCCCATACATTGTATGATACCACAGAAAGTTGATCGCTTTTGGGAATGTTATGTAACACCCTTTTCCATTCCAAAATATTCATACACACAGATTATAGGAAAGTGTTCAAATTTAGAATTTTCAAGAAAGGGTATATCCCTTGTACTTAGTGAGTATGGAAAACAAATGAATATAGATTAACTGTGGCAGCATAATTAAAGACCTCCATCTGGAAAAACTACACAAGTCATGTGTACACAAGCTGCTTCCATAACTTAGCTGTTCAATTGTCACATATATCAAGCAGTTGGAGAATGTAAGGTGTATTCACGACATTCCATATGAAGACATATTGGTCAGATCACCGGGTTCAGCGCTTATGTATTTCAGTGTGCTTGAACTTTTGAAAGCATGCAGGGATAAGTTGTGTGCTTTGGATGTGACAGCCTTAAGGTGTACTGTCGTCAGATAGAGTATGGTAACATAAACAGTTACAACGTGGCGAAGCTCCAAAATCATTTCCTGCTTATGTAGAAATAGCTAAATCAAAAAACTGAAGACCAGTTAGAAACACCTAGGAAATACTACGATAGGAGAGCATGAAAATAACTATTGTAGCACGTTTAATTAACAAACTTTCTTTGCCACAATCAGGATACCTTTTAACCATAAAGGCGGATATGGATAACAAATTTCTATAGTTTCTGATAGAAAATCCAAGAAATCTTTCTATGAGTTAATTTCAAGTACTTTATTGAGGATTGAGGACGACATCATAAGAATTATGTTTTCTCTGGATCGGGCTTCTGCTTGTTATCTTTCAGACGCTGTAAAATATTTTTGAAATTCATATTAGAAACTTTAAAATACACTTTTTTTTAAGAAGTTGCTTTTCATGCAATTTGGAATTGTTAGCAAGCAGCATGTTGGGACATAATTGGCTGCTCTTTCAACGTAACTCTGCTGCTGAAGTGTGTTCGATTTTTATCTAAGGATATTAAATATAGCAGTAAATAAGTGAGGTTGTGAAAGAATCTACAACTGTAGAAAATGCCATCAATTGATCAGCAAATTCCATTATGCTCAAAACATCCATTCTTTAGTCAGTGATAATCAATAATTTCTTATCAAAGTAAGCTACCCACATAGTTAAATATTAAACAGGTAAATAATGTAGCTACTTTAATATTACCATACTAACTGGAAGTATGCATCGACCAATCAGTTGGGTAACCTCAATGTTGTATTGTTGACAACTTCGGTGATTTAAATTGGTCTCAAATCATATACTAGGCTAACAATGCAAAATAATCTTCATAATAATAATAATAAACATAGATAATAAAGAAATATAAAGAAATTATAATAATATTTTAACCAAAAATGTTCATCAAACTAATATTACAGAAATATGCTTAACCTCTAACTTCTACTATCATGAGCAGTAAATGCATTTGAATTTTAAGTGTGATTTTCAGTTACTGCCAACATTGTATACTGTATCTTCAGCTACTGCCGACATTGTATACTGTATCTTCAGCTACTACCGACATTGTATACTGTATCTTCAGTTACTACCAACATTGTGTACTGTATCTTCAGCTACTACCGACATTGTATACTGTATCTTCAGTTACTACCAACATTGTGTACTGTATCTTCAGCTACTACCGACATTGTGTACTGTATCTTCAGTTACTACCAACATTGTGTACTGTATCTTCAGCTACTGCCGACATTGTGTACTGTATCTTCAGTTACTGCCAACATTGTATACTGTATCTTCAGCTACTGCCGACATTGTGTACTGTATCTTCAACTATTGCGGCCATTGTGTACTGTATCTTCAACTATTGCGGACATTGTGTACTGTATCTTCAGCTACTACCGACATTGTATACTGTATCTTCAGCTACTGCCGACATTGTGTACTGTATCTTCAACTATTGCGGACATTGTGTACTGTATCTTCAACTATTGCGGACATTGTGTACTGTA